ATCTTTGGCATTAGTGGTTGGTGCATAACCTTGAATAATAGTCATATTAACAGGCCTTTCTTGTAGGCATACGGCTATCAGCTGATACTTCCGGATAGACCTTGCAATGCTTTTTTTGATCATGACTGCCACACCATTCCTCTTCATTTGCCATTCTTAGCATAGTAGACTATATGACCAATTCAAAATGGCCAATACGAGTAGGCTAGCAATCCTTATGCATTATATTTCATTTCTAACAACATGCAAGTTTTCTAGTCATACTTCTATATCCTGATTACCAATGGAGTTATAATTGCTTCTTCTCATTCTGAGAAAATGAAGGTCCTGGAAGTTTTACTCCATCCATATCATTAACATCAACCATACTTTGATGAGGCAGTATTTCCCAGTCATATGTTAAGTGTCTTTTAACCTGAAGGGTTTATCTTCCAGCACTATTCAGTGTTTTGCTATTATTTATAAGGTTTTCATTGGCCAATCTTTTTAGAAGTAGGTCACCAGGTCTTTCTTAGTCTGGAGGCTCCAAGGATGCTTTTCCACAGTGCATGGTCTTGCTGGGTTTGAAACACAAGTGCCATCGATTCCAGCCTCACAGCAACATTCCAGCCATTACAGTGTCACAAACTGGCAGATGAGGGGTGGGCACTTACTTGAGAAGGACACAAGTCAGTAACACTACTTTCTGCTTCCTGATCACATAGCCTGGGATTCCTGGGTACTTCTGTGAACTCCGTAAGGCTTAAAATGAAATGTGAGGGGAAAACCTGATAGAATGTCTTTGTGAAAGACGTTGGTGACTTATTCCATCTGACTCTGAAAGTGAGAAGATACACTAGCCGACCAGCTGAGATTTGCATTTTCAGAAGCTATCACAAAATAGTGATCATTATACCCCATCGGGGTTTCATAGTTGAAATACTGCACAGTTCAAATTATTACATTTTATTTGCTTCAATTAAGAAAGTAGTTAGCTTATCAAGTCTTTGTGCTGGCATACCCTTTTTTCTTATATTGGGTCCAAATTTTCTTTGGCTTTGAGTTATCACTTTCTTTTGATGGGTCTTTAAAATATGTCCAGGCCCTGGTAATCTTCTCCTCACTTCTTGTTAGTATTATTCACTACATTATTTTCACAAGGGTGTGGTTATTTCTTAGTCATCCCATATGACATGTGTAAGGGAGTCCATGAAGTTCATATCTTAGGCCCCATCTCCTCTCATAATAGGACAAAGGGGTAGAAGAGAAGGGGCCATCCCTGGCCCTGTATTCCCACATCATCTGAGGTGAAGCCCCAGCTTCTGGCATACATTCAGCCTGACAGATCAATTATAAAGTCCTTGAAGCTAGGACTTTCTAGAGGGCCAATTAAAACAGCAGAATTGGAAGACACTGAATAACATCTGGAAGTCCAAAAAGTGGCCAGGCAGGAGTTCATCAATGAATAAGAGACAAGGTCTCAACATCCAAACAGGGATGAAGGACAAAATTCCATTATAGAAAGGACTGTCAGGAAAAAAGAACAGAAACATAGACACTGAACCAATGAGCTGTGTATATAATGAAGTGAGCACACACCTTCCCAACACATCACTGAAGACAAAATGGGTGCATAAGCAAATGTGGGGAAGAAAGTAGATGGTGCCCGGCTATTGAAGAGATAGTATCTGAGGCCTTAAAGGCTTGAAGTTAAACAAGTGGCCATCTAGCAGGGGAGCAAACTAGCTCACATGGAAGAATCACACCAGCCTGTGTGATCACAAGGTGTTGACAGTATCAGGTATCAAAAGATCCAAAATAAATAATTATATACATGATGTGAATGAGGGGGTTTGGAATAGAGACCCAAAGACCATCTGTAGACAATTGGACATTCTCCCACAGAAGGGTTACGAGGAAGGGACAATTCAACCAGACTGCCAGTATAGCACCAATGAAACACACATCATTCCTCTAGTTCCTGAATGCTTCTTCCCCCCACCACCATGACCCAGTTCTACCTTACAAATCCCGCTAGACCGGAGTACACACATTGGTACAGATAAGAGCTCTCGACACATGGAATTCAGGAGAGATAAAACTCTCAGGAACAGTAGTGGGAGTAGTGATATCATGAGGGTAGGGGATAGTGGAGTTGTGGGGGTAGAAAGGGAGAACCTATCACAAAGTTGGATATATAACCCACCCCACCAGGGGGATGAAAAACAGAAATGTGGGTGAAGGGAGACAACATACAGGGTAAGGCACAAAATGACAACAATAATGTATCAAGGATTCATGAGGGTGGAGGGTGGGAAAGGGAGAGGAAAAAGAGGAGCTGATACCAAGGGCTCAAGTAGAAAGAAAATGTTTTGGAAATGTTGATGGTAATATATGTACAAGTGTGCCGAAAACAATTGAATGATGCATTGTTATAAGATTTGTAAGATCCTCCCCTCCAATAAAATGATCAATAAAAAGAAATCAATAAAAGAGAACGTAAGCTCTGAAACAAAATGGAAGTGCCCACAATAAAGGAGGGAGAAAGAGGGCCTGGAATTTGGGGACTTCAATATCACCATGATGACATCAACTTGGATTTGAGCTGTGACAATGTGGCAATCTCCTGGGTCGCACTCAGGATTGGGTGTGGAGCAAAGGCAACTAGAGCACAATGTAGGAGCTCAGTGGTTGGTGCTGGGCCACCAAGTCCCAGAGCAGCCTCACTCATGTCTCAGTGAAGACCAGTTATGTGCTGAGATTGTTTTTAAAATGACCCCCCTTATCCAGGGAAAGAATGGGGGTGGCTGTGGTAGAGATAGGTGAGTGACTATAGGATTTCTTGAGGGGCCACTGGAAAAAGAAAAACTAGAGTGAATTTAGAGAAAAATAATTGTACAGGCAGATGATCTACAACCAAACCAAGATGTGAAGTTAGAAAGTTACTGCCCCCTTAATACCATCTTTAAAGCTGTATACACTGCATGATTCTGAGAGAACGAAAAAGGGCCCCCAGCCCTAACTCATGACCCTCACAACTGTCTAGATGCCCCTTGCCTGAAATGACCTCCGATGCCAATGGGTTTCCTAGTGGAACTATAATAGTACTATCACAAGTGAACTCCTTTAACAAACAGAAATGGAAATTTCTGTTCACAGTTTAGGAAATTAGAAGTCCCAGTTCAGGATTCTAGCTCTAGAGGATGCCTTCCTGTGTCCGATCTGGAGGAGGCTCCTCGTCTCTTCTGGAGTTCTGCTTCTGAGCCATCTTCCCGCAGCTTGCTACTGATCACCCCCTTCCTTTGCTTCCAGGTTTGCCTGTTTAACTCTTTATGTTTCGAAAGAGATTGACTAAAACGAACCCTAGTTTAACGCTGCCTCATCAGCCTCACCCATTCCCAAATGGAGTTATAACCACAGCACATAAATTAGGATCCATAACATACGGTTTGAGGAATTAATTCAATCCATAGCATTCTACCCAGTGTGCAAACTCCCTCCCCCTGCCACCAAATTCATGCTTGTCATAGGCACAACACATTCATCGCATCCCATCATCCCAAAAGTCTTACATCAACCCAACTCCAAAATCTCACCTTCTGAATCATTTAAATCAAGTAGGGTTGAGGTTTTCAGTACATTCTATCTTGGGACAAAATTCCTCTTCATCTGTGAACTTGTGAAATTTAACCTACAACTCATCGGTTTCCAAAGTTCACAGATGAAGAGGAATTTTGTCCCAAGATAGAATGTACTGAAAACCTCAACCCTAATCGATGGGAGTAGAAAGTCGCTTTCTCCCACAGCGTGGCTGGAGGTTTTAAACTGCCCAACTCGTAACCAGCAGGGCTCCTATTTGTTCAACAGGAGTTTCCAAATAGTGAAGGGTTGTTTTCATCTTGGGAAGTTCATTTTAAGTCCACCCCTTTCTTCTCACATTTTCCAATAAACAGCAAGAAGAAACCACGCGCCCCGCTAAGGTGGTGCTTAGGAATCTCACCGGCTACATACCCAAGTAGAAGCTCTGCTTTCTACTGAACAGTTGGACATAATCCAGGCAAATTGTTTGCCACTGCATAAAAACTATCATCCATCTGCCATATTCACTGTATTTTTTAAAACCTCTCTAGAAACACCTTTAAGATCCAAATTTCTAGCAACATTCCGTTTGGGGCACCATTTATACTCTCTTCTACGATATAGACTTTCTCCATTGCTTCCCTCACTTCCCTCTGAATTGCCTTTAATATCCATAACTCTACCAACAGTCTTTCCAAGCAATCTAGGTTTTTACTATCAGACACCATGAGACTCTTTCAGCCTCTTCATTACCAATTCCCAAACTGCTGCCACATTGTAGGTATTTGTTAGCGCAGCACGGCATTCCTCCTGTAACAATAGCTAGTGCTGCTGTAACAGAGATAGCACCAGTCCATGGCTTGCACCAACAAATCTGGTTGCTTCCAGTTTGGGAAGCTGACATCTGAATTCAGAGCGCCAGCTCTGGGAGAGTTTCCCTATCTCTCAGATCTGGAGGAAGTTCCTGGTCTCTTTCGGGCTTTTGTTCCTGGGAAACCTTCATGTGAGTTGGCATCTCTCTTCTCCCTCGCTAGCTTATTTAATCTTTTATATCTCAAAATACATGAGCCCTACCTCATTAGCATCCCATAGACAACCCATTCCCAAATGCGATTGTAACCGTAGAGAGACTCACAGCCACTGACCTCATTCTGGCTCATAGTGACCCTACCTAGGGTTTCCCACACTTTTACAAGAAACTTTTACTGGACCAGATAGCTTCAAACTCTCTTGAGTGGAACACCTGGTGGGTTTGAACTAAACTATTAACCTGTGGTTAGCAGGGATCCTTAACCATAGGCATGGGATGTGGATTCACAACATATATTGCAGGGAAGGAGGCACAATTCAATCCATAAAAGCCTTCCTGGAGTTAAGCAGAGTATTCGGGGTTATTGATAGAATCCATAGACATAATTACTATGAGTATTTTGTCTTCAAAGGTATCTCAGCATGTGCAAAGTATCTTCTACAAGAAAAATATTTCACGTCCTATCCAGGAATATTCTACAAGGCAAGCGTTTGCCCCACCAGCAGATCCACCATCTTCTCTTTGGGATCTTAATTCCTGGAGTGATACATCAGGCATTCCTTGCTCCCAGGATATAACTCTCACAGGAATTGAGCAAGACAATATGAGAAATTAAAAGTCCCTCAAAAAACAAAAAAAATCTTTACCACTCTTCCAATGAGTGGAAGATAGTCTAAAGGGGGCTGAAGGTTTTCCAGGACCAGAGGAGGCTGTGGGGAGAGAAAGCCCGCCCGCAGAAGACTTTGATCAAGAGACTGCATGCAGGGCTGAAATGACTTTGGCACAAAGCAGGTGCAGAGTGAACAAATGCTAACTGACAGTGTTTGCAAATAAGTTGCATGTTCCCAGGAGCGCGTTTCCCAGAAAACCTTGAAGAGTCTGACTGGGGCTGAGGGGTGGGGGGTGGTCGGAGTGGGGAGGGGTGGGAGGGCAGTGTCTGCCCGCTCTTCACAGGTCCACTGTGACCCACCTGGGGCACCGGGAATTGGAGTCGCCACTGTGAAAGTCATCTTTGTCTTGTTTCACTTCTGTTCTCTCATTTCCCGCTTTCCAATCCTGGAAGAGACAAAGGAACCCAGTAGGGTCTGAGAACATGGAGAAGTTCAAAATAGGGAAAAAAGAGAAGCCAAGCACAAGGGTTTTCGTTTTTCTCACCCTCGGTTTGCAGCTAAAGCAGGCCCTAGCCTAGCTCCGGAAAGGGGAGACGGTTCACCTTCAAGTTCAGGGTTTGATTGTTACTTAGGACTGGCAATTCTATTTCCGAAATGAAATGATGTTATGACTAAAAAAAAACGAAAGGTCTCTTTATTAAATGAGAGAGAGATGAAAAGTCATTAGCACCCACCTCAGATTTCATCCCAGGGGCGGGGCAGCGTTATCTCCATGAAGCAGGTTTGAACTGGCAGGGCGGAGGGGAGAAGATTAAAGTGAGTCCCTGCTTGTGCCCGATGGAGCCCCACTCGGTCCAGTCCACCTTCCACGGAGATTTTCTGCAGGGAGACGGGAGAATCCAGTGGAATGTGCGGAAGGAGGGAACTGGGTGACAGGGACATAGAACTGTCTCTCACTTGGACTTTTTTGCCATGAGAAGGTATTGTCTGTGTTCGTAGGCAGCCACCTAGGATGGCTCTCAAAGGTACCTGCCTCCTGGCATTCATGCCCTTGTATAATCCCCTCCCCCCAGGATAGGTTGGACTTTCCCCCTCTTTTCCAGGGACTAGCACACAGAGCCTGCACGGGGATGGCCCTGCGTGGCTTCTCTCTGCTCTCTGTGGCTTGCTCACCCCGGCAGAAGCCAGCTGCTGGGCAGCTCTGCTGGGCAAGCTCCCGTGATTGGATTTGGAAAGAGATGTTCTGAGGACACTTCGCGGGCGGGATTGGAAGGGGGATCCCCCCGATGAGCTGTGGGGTGACGGCAGCACCCACCGGAGGCTTGAAGGCGGGGTAGCCGCACCAGGGACCCTGAGCCGGAGGCACCTAGCTCAGCTGCTCCTGGGTAGCTGAGCATAGAAACTGTGAGACTGTAAGCACGTGCTGATTCCAGCCACTGCACATTGATTTGTTTCACAGCAGTAGCTGACGAGCACAAACAAACTGCTTTTCATAAACCTCCGTAGCATGCTGCCCGCACTGGCTTTGTGGTTTGTTGTTAGCCCAGCAGTCCTGCTAACTCAGCTGTGCTTGGCTTTTCTTTCTGTTTCACAAGAAAAACAATCGGTGTTTGGCTTTTGTTTTTCCCTGACATGTGTTTGTGAATTGCTAATTTCTTGGTCCTTTTTCTAAGAGAGAGAAGAAAATGTATCTCCCGGGAAATTTCAAAATGTTATTAATTGGGTATGAGATATGTAAGTCGTTTAAGATGGCTTGTATAAAATAAACTGATCAATCATGAGCCTCGGGGTGTTTATCAATAAGGTATTCTGATAAGTTGGAAAATGCCCTATCACGATGTAAGATATGAAAATAATAATCTATAACTTATCAAGAGTTCGTGAGGGAGGGTGGGGGAGGAAGGGGGAAGGATGGGGAGCTGATATCAGGGGCTCAAGTGGGAAGAGAATGCTTTGAAAATGATGACGGTGGCACATGTGCAAATGGGCGTGACACACTGGATGCATGTATGGATGGTGATAAGAGATGTAAGAGCCCCCAAGAAAAGTTAAAAAGAAAAGACAAATGCCCTGCCCACCCCCTTCCCTCCTTTTTATTCTTCTGATCGAAGAACTGTGTGCCACGTGACTTTCCACCTGCTGGAATTCCCAGGCCCGAGCAGTTTCACACCATGCCCGCTGTGAGGTCACAGGTGCTGTGAGGTCAGAACGGACTTGGTGGTAGAGAGTTTGGGGTCTGGGGTTATGACAGAGGCTCGCTAAGAGTCAGAACTGACAAGACGGCAGAGGGGTGGTTTGGTACGGCAGAGGGTCAGAGGCGAAAAGGAAGAGTCTCAGTGAGAGAGACGGACACAGTGGCGGCAGCGATGGGCTCAAACAGAGCAGCCCTTGGGGGGGGGCGGGGGCACAGGGCCGATCAGTGGCCCCTCGTCCTGTGGCTCCTGCCGTCCTATGAGCAGAACTGCCTGGATAGCACCTCCTGACAAGACCGGGTCGATGGACTGGTTGGCCATGGACTTGGTTTGGTTTCTGATGGTGGAAAGGGTTAATGTGCTCAGCTGCCCGCCAACAAGAGGTGAGCTGTGTGAGTCCACCCAGGTGTACCTCAGCAGAAAGGCGTGGCGAGTGAAACCCTGTGGAGCCCCAGTCTAAGGGGACACACCTGGGGTCACCAGATGCAACGGCTTCCTGGCCCCTGCTCTTTGTTTTTGTTTTTATGGTGAAAGGAAAAAGGAAAAGCTTAATGAATAGTTTTAGAAGCAAAGAAATCATGGTGCTACTGATCCGATGGCTTCGGAATGTCTTACTCGTGCTAGATGAATCCATTGAGTGGGTAGTCGACTCGTTTGAACAGATGTGTTTCAGTCTCACTCCAAAAAAGGAACATGTCTCATCACCATCCTGGCTTGTGCTGTCGCCAAAAACAGCACTGTACAAAAAAAAAAAAACAACAGCACTGTACATAAGTATAGATTCATGCATTTAAAAAGAACCAGAGAGTACGTGTAAAGGAGGCTGTCAGCGAAGTGTTGGGCTGCTAACCACAAGGTCTTCAGTTCAAAGCCACCAGCCGCTCCCTGGGAGAAAGATGAAGCTCTTGTTCCCATAAAGACTCACAGCCTTGGAAACCCTGCACAGGTTGTTAGGAATCATAATCAACTTGATAGCAATGGGTTTGGTTTTGGTGTATTAATTTTTAAAGAGATTTTGGATACATAATCCACATGCCAGGTATATTATTATTCTTTTTAATGTGGTAATACTATTGGGACTACTTTTTAGTTCTTGTCTTTTAGAAACATGTATTGAAATATGTACAAATAAAAGCATATACTGTATATACTCAGTATAAGACGACCCGAATATCAGCCAAGGCCCCTAATTTTACACAAAAACTGCATTAAAAATGTGCTGAAAAACTAGGCTTATACACGAATATATGTGGTAGGTCAAGTCTGGGATTTTATTTCACCCTACCTACAAACTAGTAAATTAGCATCAGAAAGCTACAGGGGCAGTTCTACTCTGTCCCAGAGGGTTGCTCTGGTCAGAGAGAGTCACCTCCTCGGTGGCGGTGAGGTTGGGGTTTGGGTTTTGTCTTGGTGCTCGGTCGTACACAGACTCCTGGTCACAGACAAGGGCTTGAATACCCATGAGCTGTAAACAGCGTGCACGTCAGCATTCTGCGTGGTAGCCCTGCTTGCTCTCAGGTGGCACGGGGTTACACTGATGGTCTAGAGAAGCCTGCACACGGAGTGAATTGGCTTCACCTCTGAGAAACTCTGAGCTTGGGGAATCCACCAATTTTATGGCAGACAATGAGCAAGCCTTCCTTTTTCCAAAGGAGGAGGGGCTGTTACGTTAGTTTTTTAAAAGATTATCAACTTGTCTATCACAAGCAATTCTGAGAAGTGGCCCTGGAAAGAGAGCCGTCGGGGCCTTGCAGCCCTGGCACACGCAGCAAAGCAGGTAGGAGCCAAAGAAGCCCAAGGACACTGTGCCTCCCAGCAACATCCTGCCATGGACCTGCTTCCAACGGAGGAGGGAAGTGCAGGTGAATCCGGGGAAGTGGAGGGTGAACATGTTGGCTGGGTAGTCGATACTTGTTGAAGCTGGGTTATTACATGTAAGATTACCATACTATTCATTCATTTTCCATAATAAAAATATTTAATATGATTTCTAAAGAGTTGTCACATATATGACATTTGATATGTATTGATCCACTTTTTAACAAAATAAAATATTTGTTACACATGGACTATTTTAATCTGCCCACTATTACTACAAAATGCAGACCTCATTTTTGTAAATATTTGCAGTTATTTTATTACAGACACATGAAAGGACTATTTTATAGGGAGTGCTAGTCAATGTATTGTACTTATCCAGCCTAACTTGGACTTTTACATCTTCCTCTGGAACCTGAATTCCTCTTTACATTACC